TATATACCAAAATTTTTATAAACTTATTTTTCATATCTTCATTTCAGAATATACTAATCACTTCAGAAGGTGGAAGTGGCTCGGACCCTCTCAAGTTAAGAGAGGCTGAGGGGCTGTGGGTTGTGTTATCAGCTCCATGAAATTTCACAGATGAGACACGAGCCTCAAAAGGGTTGTTTTTCTTCTTCCTTTACCTTAAGCTTTTTCCACTGTGTCGTGTTATCCGTGAGCAAATCAAAGGTATCCTACAGTTTGTAAGAGTGACACAGTGCTTATTTGCAGTCTTTGGGAGAGGTGACAAGAAATGGGATTTCTGGAGAAGTGCCTGCTTTCCTTGGATTAATCCTATAAACAAGATGATGCAGGTGGTATTAGGGCCTCCCTTTCTCCCTGGTTTCTGTAGCCTGGGAAACAGGGATGATCAATCTGGTTTGAGATCCACTGGGGTGCCCGTTGCCTTTCCTTGCAGTGCCCGTTGCCTTTCCTTGCAGTGCCTTTGCTCTTGGCTTCATTTTTCCAAACTCCTCTCTCCCTTAGCTCTCCCCAGACCTGTGGCCTTGAGAGCAGGCCCTGGAATTCACTGTTCCTGCTAGTTGGGTCAGTACGTGGACTCTTCCAATTATCTCAGCCGTCAGGCCAATCTTCCCCACATCCTCCACACCAGGGAGCAGCAAGAGGCAGGGAGAAGGCACCCCAACCCCGAGCATTCTGAGCAGACTCTGGGATGCCAGGCCTTTCAGGGTGGGTCAGGTAAATAAAGGTTCACCAATTCAAAGGTGGAGGGGAAAAACAGTTCAGTCTTTGGAACCTGTCTTTGGTGTGAAAGGAGCTGCTTTCCTCTGGCTCACAACCCTGCAGCCAGCTCCACTGCTTGGCCCCAAGCCAAGTTGTCAGGGAGGCACTGGCTGGGAGGTAGGCCAGGGAGGTGGGCTAAGAAGGATCTCCACTTGGTGAAGATGTCTGCTGGGTGGCCCTCTCCCAGAGTGGGGGTGCTTTCCTTCATCTGCCCCATGAGGAAAAGAGGAGAGGAGGACCAGGGAGAGGGATCCAGAGTAAAAAAAAAAACACCAAGCCCCAGGGATGCACTGGAAGAGACAGCTTCTCCCTCCACTAGGGACTGGGGGCTGAGAGCTGCCCCCCACCCCCGGGGAGTGAGTGAGGAGGGAGCTGGGCAAGGCCCAGCCTTGTTAGTGAGCAGCTCTGTGGCCTTGACTTGATCCCATGATTCTGTCTTCTCACTTAGAAAAGGGTGAGACAGTCATGTGCAGGCTGTGGTGGGACAGGCTGTCTGCAGGTAGCTTGGCTCAGAGTCGGTCCTCAGAACACAGCCTTAGTCACAGCCATGCAGCCCGAACCCACACTCTGGGCCCAGGGCAGTGGCTGTAGCTGGCATCCCCTGAAGTAATGAAGTTGGAAAGTCTGGAAAGAGCCTCAGCTCTGATCACCTTCTGCCCCAGCCTGTGCCACACCCACCCCCCAGACAGGCAGAGCTGTCCCTGCCACTGGGCCTCTCACTGGGGACCCGTTGGCCACAGTGAGTGGAAGGACCTGCTCAGCTGGACCAGTTTTTTCCCTGCCCGGGGATGTCCGATGGGTGTGTTGGGCAGGAGGTGATATTTGACGGCTGCACTTGGGCAGCTGCCTCAGAGCCACTGTGCCTGGCACAGGCTAACATGGCCTTGGGCAACCACCCACCGCCTGCTATGCCTGCCTGCCTGCCGTGCCCTTGGGGAGCTGGTGAGTGTGGCCCGGCCACCTGCAGAGGGAGAAAGAGACAGGGAAGCCGGCCTGGGGGCCAGACCAAACTGCAGTCCCCTCCCAGGAGAAGAGGGACCCAGGCTTAGAGCAGGTGCAGCTGCAGGCAATTGGCAAATCCCACTCTGTGCCCTCCCTTAGGTGGCAAGTGTGGCTTTCCTCCAAAACAAAATCCACTGTGAGTCAGGGACTGGCAGGCCACTGGCTTCAGAAGCTGGGGGAGCACTACTGAAATACCAGGCCAGGGTTCTCAGGAAGATGTTGGAAATGGATTTTTATTACATTGCTTCTTTTGTACAACTATTTGTGCCTTTCTGAAGTTTGAAGTGGAGAGGCTGTGCCTTTCCTTCTGAGAGCAGGTCTTCAGTATTACTTACCATTCCAGCTGACTTTGAGCTCTGCTGGGTTCACACACAAGGTAGCTTGTGGCAACATCTGCCATCAGTCATGTGAGGCACCCTGGTTACAAGTGAGAACATGTCGCTGTGTTACACTCTGGGGTGCTGTACAGCTGAGGGTGGCCATGATCTCTGCGGAGCCTGGCATGCTTCATCTGCATAGCTGCTCAAGTCCCCTCTGAGCCAGCTGGCACCACACCCTCTTCACTGAGGGGCACACTCAAGTCTAGGTTCCAATCAGGGCAAAGGAATGTGTTTTTCCAACACCTTCTGAAATAACTAGCTTATGGGTGATACTCTCTTGCCCACCCTTAATTTGGCAGTGCTGTCCCTGAGCAGGGAGGAAAAGACAGACAGTGAATCCTCTTTTACATTAGACATGACCAGCACTTCTCACTCTCATTCGTCTGCCTAGAAGGTTGGGCCTGACTGAGTGACTTTTAAGCAAACTGGCTAAAGGGTGGCCATTGATGGCAAC